GGATTTGCCAAACAAAATTTACTTTAAGTTTCTTTCCCAAAAATGAGCAAAATCTCTATTTGTTGGATGTCAATTGCGATTGGGGCGGGTTAGCCTTCTCTTATCAGATCGGAGCTTTGGGTTACGAATAAAAAGTTCATTAGCAATATGAGGGTGTTAAGTTTTTTTTTTTTGCGCTAAATGGCTGGGTGACAGAATACCACGATGATTTGTGAGAATTATTCTAGGTTACAAATTAATAATAACTATTATAGTTAAAAATAATTTAAATAATTTAATACATAGATTGTTTTTAATAAAATTCGTACCGGTTTAAAGCTCAAGAAACACGTGCATTCATCCCTTCTATGAAAATGAACAGCGTGGGGATACAGAAAGATCGGGTGGCAGCCCAATGGTCGAAAGCAAACAGGCCAGTATTCGTAACCCATCACTAGTGCTATGGGCGAGAGTAGAGGTTGAGAACTTGAGATTAACATAAAGTAACAAGAAGCGCCAAAATGTAGAGTATGACCACATGTGAGAAGCGCGAGATCTTGAGCGGATTGTTGGTAGAAAGAGAGCACGCAGACCAACGGAGGACTAGAGGCAAGTAGGCAAGTCTAGAGAGGAGAGTGGTAGCATGTGCAACTGCTCAAAGGTTTGAGATGGTAAGCAGGGTTTCCCAAACCGCCAGGGCCGGGGTTACCGCGCCCCGGCGGCAAGCACGGTTACCGCGGTAACCATAAAAAACCATGCAAAATTTATTAAAAATTCAAATTAATTTTAAAATTTATTTAAATTTAAAAAGGTTATTGTGGTATTTATATTACCGTACCCCGTGGTAAGCCCGGTAACCACGGTAACCGCGCGGTTACCGATGGTAACGTAAACCCTGGCGTTAAGTACTAGTAGCACAAGAAGTTTTGTGATCTAATTATTTGAAACTCATATTGCCATATTGCCGTCGTTCAGAAATATAACTACTTTTATCGTTTAAAATTTATCCAAAAACGTAAATATTTCTAGTACCAGTCTTCATCAATTAATCATATATTGATTATAATCCATACGATTTATTAGCAAACGAATAATAATTTCTAGGTAAACCCTTTTATATATACGTCCTTTGTGATTTAAAAACCAATATAAAAATAAACTTTGATAAGAAAAATTCAAAGTCATGTTTTAAAACGGGAGAGCTAATTTTTCAATTCATCCAAACGCTGCATTTATTGCTCATTGGTGATTGCATCTTTCAGTATGATATTTTCTGAAAGTAATCTCGCGACGACATTTTACAAGGTGATTTTATCTAAAACTACTAAAATGCTTATATTTCCTCCGTACTCATAAAGAAAGTCATTTAGGACAATGTTTAAGTCAAACCTTGGGAATATATATCATGAATAACTCTCAAGTTGTTGAGTTTGAAAATGTAAAAATTATATGAATATATTTGTCTTGAAAAATACTTTAATAAAAGTATACATATTTCATTTTTTAATAAATATTTTTATAGAAACAAAAATTCAAAATTGTGTTTTGGAGATCGTGTCGCTGTCCAAAACGACTTTCTTTACGAGTACAGAGGGAGTATTTGCTAACGGATGGAGTAGTATCTAACTTAATTCGTTCAATTGGATTTGTACCAAACCTAAGTTGCAAAAGTCGAAGCATATATTCTGCTGAATTGAGATTTAGTGGGCCTATATTTGGAGTGATCTGTAAATAAATAAGTCAACCTCGACATGCAACACGCAAGTCACTTGTACTTCTATTTAGCGAAAACGATACTGTTCCGTAAGTCATACCTGAGACCTCAAGAGGTTACCGACCAATGACAGTTCAAAGGCCCAAAATATAGCGATCCAATGAGACCGACATCGGTTACAGTCTTCTCAAATCTCACGGCTCGTCACACCCACGATATTTACCTGGAAATTTTATCTGCGGGTGGCTTGCGTCCAAGGTTGCTGGAGCTATAGAAGTTAATAACAGCAGACGTCACGATCAGGAGATTAAACACTCGATACGCTACCTGACTCCTTTGACAACGAGGCCCAACCTGCTGAAAATAACAGATAATAATAGCAGTACTTCTACTCCTAGTAGACACGATGCACGTACAGTGTGCCTTATCAGTGGAACGCCCTTTGCGTGCGGCACTGTGGCATGCCTTCCCCTTACTAGTCCTCACATCAAAGTTGCTCCCCTGTAGTAGATGTTACAGTACTACAGTGCGATCAGCCACACCGACAGCCACCACCAGTTGCAGTGGAGCAAACCGTATGACTCGGGGCCGCAGTTATACATGGCAAGTTGCAGCGACGAGACGTGCACGCCCATGGAAGCAACTGGAGTATGGAAAAAAGATCTCGTAGCGCTAAGCACCGCAGCCGTCGCGTCGACGGATTTCGCACGGCTAATAGTCGGATGGTCGGGACCGGAGGAGTACGTGCGCCGTTTGCCCGCGGGTCATCTCGGCCATCACGACGCGCGTTCTCGGTTTGATGAGATGATGGTTATCGTTCGTGCCACGAGGGCGAGGTGACGGGGCCGCGCCTGCTCGCGGCTCGTCACGTTTCCTCGTCGACGAATCATCGTGTGGTGAGGTCGCAAATACGCTGTGGCGTGGCGTGCCAGTGGCGATCCGGTCGACGGGTTAGCGCGGCGGTGGCGAGCACAATCACAAATGCCCGTCGTGGTGCCCGGGGGGGGGGGGGGGGGTGTTTCCCCCGTTTTCTTGCTCGGTTGTTGTTTCAGCGGAGGGGACGGGGGACGCGCGGGCGGCCAGCGATGGTGGGCACGGGCGGCGCACAGGGCGTCTACGGGATGGACGGTGCAACAAACGAGAAAAGTTGCAGCACAGGCAGGTGACAAAAACGAGTACTGTACACTTGCTGGAACCTTATCTTTGTGGCCCAGTTGACCCCGCAACAAGTCACAGGCTCGGCAGAACAGGATGCGGCTACTCTGCATTTCAGTACTGTACTATATAGATTGAAGAGTACCATTCCAATGACATCACATTTCAGTCCTGTAACTTGGTGGTAGTGTTCTCTGCATAATAACTTGGTGGTAGACTGGTAGTGCACACATCCTAAAATAAAGGGTTAATTTTACTTTGGCCCACCTTTTATTACCAACGTTTCGCTTTGGACCACCTTAGAACCAATGTTTTCACTTTGGACCGGATATTTTTACCTTTGTTTCATATTGGACCACCCTCACTCTTTTATCCATCTACATCCAACTTGTAATATGTCGAAGAAATAGTCTTACATATAGCTGTGTTAGTTCATTGACGAGTAGGAGACAGCGTAATCGAGATCGTTCATATGCTTGAGAAGAGAGTTGGGTGGTCCAAAGTGAAACAAATGTAAGTTTACCCAATCCAAAGTGAAAATATTGCTTAAAGGGTGGTCCAAAGTGAAACATAGGTAACAAAAGGTGGCCCGAAGTGAAATTTACTCAATAATAAATCATTTTTCGGTACAAATTAAAATATATTTTGGGCGTATAAAGAGTGTTATGCGATATATGGAGTATTATATATACGATGAGGAGATAATTAAACGAGGAGTGGCTTAAAATGGGTGAATTGTACTCTTTGGGAGACAATTCTGGAGAACGCCAGATCCAGCGTGGATGACAGTAAAGTGGAAACCCAATCAAGGTGTATTTAGTTCCAAATTTTTTTTTCCAAATTTTCAACTTTTCATCACATCAAACCTTTCATACATACACAACTTTTCAGTCATATCGTCTCTAATTTCAACCAAATTTTAAACTTTGGTTGGGACTGAACACAGCCTCAGATACCGTCCCCAACATGGAGTATGACATTTACCACTAGTCACTGTCACTCTTCCTCGATCTATCGCACTCCCCGAGAAAAAAGAACAGCGCGCGCCTGGCACCCACTTGTCAAGCCTTTTCCCGGTGCACTGGCCCGACCGGACTCGCCGCCGCGGACGTACCGCAGCGCGCCACGCCGGCCCCGTCGCTGTTGCCGCCGCACGGACAGCCGCGGCCCCCGCGCTCGCCACGTGTTGCCGCTCGCCGCTCGCTCTCTCCCCTGCCGTTCGCGCTCGCTCTCCCGATCGCGGCTCGCTCGCATGGCATCTTCACGCAGGCTAGAGGTTTGTCAGTGTTCAATGGGCAGAAGAGTCATCGGTGGAGAGCGGAATCCACTTCGATTAAACAAACAATCGTGATGCACAAAAGATTGTCCGGTGGCTCCAACCAAATGCGTGAGGCATCTCCTATCTCCTTGTTTTGACCGGCGTGAGGTTAAGGGCTGGTTTGGTTTGAGGTCTAAATTTGACTTACCAATATTTAAAAATTTTAATAATGTTTAGTGTCTATTTGTTTTGAAGCCAAATTTTAGCATGCCTACGAAAATAGGCCATTTCAATAGTTAACTTAGGCTATTTTGGCTTCAATCCAAATACAACTTTGCCTTCCCAAAATTTGTCATGCCAAAACTTACTAAAATTTGACATAGTCAAAAATTGGTAAGGTCAATTTAGTTCACAAACCAAACTAGCCCTAAGACTTAAGGGTGATGAAGAATTCAAGATTCCCTGCTGCTAAACCTAGATTAGTAATGCAGTCCTTTTTATCCCTTTGGTGCGAACTGATGAGGATGGCGACTGTGCCTTGATGGATAGATCTCATCTACCGGCAGCTTAAATTAGGAAGCAATATTCTCTCTGTTGGGTAGAGAGCATATAATCTAGCCTGTATTTGGCTCTGATAAGTGGGTGGAGTCAGTTCAGTTTGCTATTTCAGTTCTTTACCTGTTCCATGCCATGCCATATTGTCCTCCGAAACAAATTCTATGAAACAAATTCCAGTGATTGGAATATTGTCCTAAGAAAATTATCCTAACCATAATGGAACAAATTCCACAAGAGAAACAAATCCATAAAGTGTTAGACCTGCACGCTCTTTCACTGTGTCCTACTATAAAACGATTAAATTGATTGATTGGAACGGCCACTGGTCTCTCTTTCCCCTCCGTAAATTTCTTGCTCAGTTCAACTAATCTAGCAGCTGCGTGGCTGTGACTGTGAGCCACCGAAAGATCCAAACGCCACCACCAAAACCAAACCAAGCAAAGCCCCTCTCAATCTCCGAATAATCTCGCGTCTCTTTTGCGCCTTTTCTTGTACTTCCCTTCGCTTGCTCGCCTTTGAATTGATCCATCAACCACAAAAAAGAGAGGAAGAGAAAAATTTTGCAGTCTCCATCACTCCTGCTGTCCCATGCGATTATTTTGTCCCGGTCGTTTGATCAATCCAAGGACAACTCAACGAGATGATGCTGGTGATGAGGTGAGTCATCCTTCCTCTCCTATTAAAAGCTGTTTTTCTTGCTCCCTCCTCGCTCCCTCTCACACGACATGAGCAGCCCTAGATCGTCCGGGGTTGGAGCAACTGTTGTGTGAGGCACGGAGGCTCCCAGATTCCTTTTTGGGTTCTTTTCATTTGAGTTCTTCTGGCACTTTTACCTGATATTTTTTTCCTTCTTTCTTCTTGCCGGGTGGTGCCTTATTTGCAGGAGATCAAATCTTGATGGTCATTATTAGCTGAAAAGGATTGGATTTTTACCGCAGAGACAGTATCTGAGCTGTGTTTCTCAGTGCCTCCCATGTTCTTGCACCAACCAAGCTAGAACTTGGAAAGGAACACCACCATCACCAATTTGCAAGAGAAGGTTCTCTCCCTTGTATTATAACCACAACTATATTGATTCGAGATTAAAGAGAAGGGCACAGTGAGGATACTGGCATTTGGAGGCTTGTTGAATCCAGGTGCGTGTGCCACCTCTCCCGAAAGGCCAAAAAAAACCACTGCTGCGAGTGCGAGTGTGCAACTTTCCTGCAAGAAACAGTGAGCCGAACACACCGGCTCTGTTCTTGGCTAATTAAACCCCAATTGCGGCGCTGTTTGGATTCAGTTCTTCGCAATTCTTGGATTCCCCAGCAGCAACTGTTCTTCCCCAACCGAGAGCCCAAATCTTTGATCCAAAACTTTGAACCAGATAGAAGCCATGGTTTCTCGGTCCTACTCCAACCTGCTGGACCTGGCCACCGGCGCGGCGGACCAGGCGCCGGCGCCGGCGGCGCTCGGCGCGCTCCGGCGGCGGCTGCCGCGGGTGGTGACCACCGCGGGGCTCATCGACGACTCCCCGCTGTCCCCCTCGACGCCGTCCCCGTCGCCGCGGCCGCGCACCATCGTGGTCGCCAACCACCTCCCTATCCGGGCTCACCGCCCGGCGTCGCCGTCGGAGCCGTGGACCTTCTCCTGGGACGAGGACTCCCTCCTCCGCCACCTCCAGCACTCGTCCTCCTCCCCCGCCATGGAGTTCATCTACATCGGCTGCCTCCGCGACGACATCCCGCTGGCCGACCAGGACGCCGTCGCGCAGGCGCTCCTCGAGTCGTACAACTGCGTGCCGGCGTTCCTGCCCCCCGACATCGCCGAGCGCTACTACCATGGCTTCTGCAAGCAGCATCTGTGGCCGCTGTTCCACTACATGCTGCCGCTCTCCCCCGACCTCGGCGGCCGCTTCGACCGCGCGCTGTGGCAGTCGTACGTGTCGGCGAACAAGATCTTCGCGGACAAGGTGCTCGAGGTGATCAACCCGGACGACGACTTCGTGTGGGTGCACGACTACCACCTCATGGTGCTCCCAACCTTCCTCCGCAAGCGCTTCAACCGCATCAAGCTCGGCTTCTTCCTCCACTCGCCGTTCCCCTCGTCGGAGATCTACAAGACGCTCCCCGTCCGGGAGGAGCTCCTGCGCGCGCTGCTCAACTCCGACCTCATCGGCTTCCACACCTTCGACTACGCGCGCCACTTCCTCTCCTGCTGCGGCCGGATGCTGGGGCTCTCCTACGAGTCCAAGCGTGGCCACATCTGCTTGGAGTACTACGGCCGGACGGTGAGCATCAAGATCCTCCCGGTGGGGGTGAACATGGGGCAGCTCAAGACGGTGCTCGCGTTGCCGGAGACGGAGGCGAAGGTGGCAGAGCTGATGGCGACTTACTCCGGGAAGGGGAGGGTCGTCATGCTGGGCGTCGACGACATGGACATCTTCAAGGGGATCAGCCTCAAGCTGCTCGCCATGGAGGAGCTGCTGCGGCAGCACCCCGAGTGGCGCGGCAAGCTGGTGCTCGTCCAGGTCGCGAACCCGGCGCGCGGCCGCGGCAAGGACGTCGACGAGGTGAAGGGGGAGACGTACGCCATGGTGCGGCGGATCAACGAGGCGTACGGCGCGCCCGGGTACGAGCCGGTGGTGCTCATCGACGAGCCGCTCCAGTTCTACGAGCGCGTGGCGTACTACGTCGTCGCCGAGGTGTGCCTGGTGACCGCGGTCCGCGACGGCATGAACCTGATCCCCTACGAGTACATCGTGTCCAGGCAGGGCAACGAGGCGCTCGACAGGATGCTGCAGCCGAGCAAGCCGGAGGAGAAGAAGAGCATGCTGGTGGTGTCCGAGTTCATCGGGTGCTCGCCGTCGCTGAGCGGCGCGGTGAGGGTGAACCCGTGGAACATCGAGGCCGTGGCGGACGCCATGGAGAGCGCGCTCGTGCTGCCGGAGAAGGAGAAGCGGATGCGCCACGACAAGCACTACCGCTACGTGGACACCCACGACGTGGGCTACTGGGCGACCAGCTTCCTGCAGGACCTCGAGAGGACGTGCAAGGATCACGCGCAGCGGCGGTGCTGGGGCATCGGCTTCGGGCTGCGGTTCAGGGTGGTGTCGCTTGACCTCAGCTTCAGGAAGCTCGCCATGGAGCACATTGTCATGGCGTACCGGAGGGCGAAGACGCGCGCCATCCTGCTCGACTACGACGGCACGCTCATGCCGCAGGCGATCAACAAGAGCCCGAGCGCCAATTCCGTCGAAACGCTGACCAGCTTGTGCAGGGACAAGAGCAACAAGGTTTTCCTCTGCAGCGGGTTCGAGAAGGGAACACTCCATGACTGGTTCCCCTGCGAGAACCTTGGCTTGGCGGCTGAGCACGGTTACTTCCTGAGGTATGATCCTGTGACTTACTCTGGTTTGTGTTCTTGCAAGGACAGTTCATGACTCAAAATACCGAATTGTGCATGTGGACGGACCATCTAGCTAACCTGATTCTAAGATAACAAGATTCATGACTAGAAATGAATTAAAAGATTAGTACATTCTTTTTACTTAATGAAAAGCGTAGTACTACATGATTGTGATCTGCACTAGTAAAACATAGTGTCACATGGATGGGGAAATGTTTCAGTAGTAACATTGAAATGGCCAAATGAGAAAACCTTTCAACACTATAAACGCCTTTTCTGCCTTGATGTTTCTTGCAAAGGGGAGCAATTTTCAACACTTTGACAAATCTGTATGATGTTTCTGAAGGTCATCGAGGGATGCAGAGTGGGAGATTTCCATTCCCCCCGCGGACTGCAGCTGGAAGCAGATCGCGGAGCCGGTGATGTGCCTGTACAGGGAGACCACGGACGGCTCGATCATCGAGAACAGGGAGACGGTGCTCGTCTGGAACTACGAGGACGCAGACCCTGACTTCGGTTCATGCCAAGCCAAGGAGCTCGTCGACCACCTCGAGAGCGTGCTCGCCAACGAGCCCGTCTCGGTGAAGAGCACCGGCCATTCCGTTGAGGTCAAGCCACAGGTGAATCCTCCTCCTAATCCTCGTCATCTTCGTTGTTGTTAGCATCGAGCGCCATGGTCGTTCGCGGTGTTTGATACCTTTGCCATTGGCAGGGCGTGAGCAAGGGCCTGGTGGCGCGGCGGCTGCTGGCGAGCATGCAGGAGAGGGGCATGTGCACCGACTTCGTGCTGTGCATCGGGGACGACCGCTCCGACGAGGAAATGTTCCAGATGATCACAAGCTCCACCTGCGGCGAGTCGCTGGCGGCCACGGCGGAGGTCTTCGCCTGCACCGTCGGCCGCAAGCCGAGCAAGGCCAAGTACTACCTCGACGACACGGCGGAGGTCGTCAGGCTGATGCAGGGCTTGGCCTCCGTCTCCAACGAGCTGGCTCGGGCGGCGAGCCCCCCGGAGGACGACGACGAATGAGCACCCATAGGGCGCGCGAGGCGTGCCATGGAAAGGATTAGGCAGTGCGGTGCACCGGAGAGCCTCGTTTAGTTCCCCCCGGTTTGAGCGTTTGATGGGTCGTAGTTGCTAGTTAGGTGTACATGATTTCCTATGATTCTTCAGGGTATTGTACCGTACGGAGTAGTGATTTAGTCCTTGGTTAGAGCATCATGAATTGGTTTGTCATCAGTAAGAGAGTATTATTGATCTAGTAAAGCTCGGGTTACCGCAACAATTATCATATTTTTCTCCGAGCAACACGTGATCTAGTGTTGAACTATATCTCGACAAATCTGCTGCTTAATCAATGCATGGTCCTTCATCTGGAGCAAATCTGCATGTCTGATTTCACTTCCGGTTGGTAGATGGATACTGATGCAGTCGATGTCATATACTGAATGGAAGAGAGTACTACTAGAAAACAGACTGTTAAATGATGAACTGACGGATAAAAATGGTCCAGACCCACTAGCTCGGATAAATGTACATGCAAATGGAGTTGTTCTACCCTTCTATCCCAAAAAAACCTAATCCTAGCTATGAACTTGAACGTAACATATGGTTCGTAGCTAGGGTTTGTTTTTTTTTTTTTTGGACGGAGTAGTACTTAAGATACATTTGAACTTTACGGAATGCAAAACATTGTATTTCAGCAGCTATCATTATGCGCAGAATATGTCGCAAGGTAACTCAAATGGGAGAAGTAACGAGCACTTGGAGAACATCTTCTCCATGAAAAGAGTAAGAGTGATTAGAACATGTACAGCAAATGAATTGCAACCTGCTCATTGGGAGATGCAAGGATGAATAGCTAATTTGGTAACAATTTAAGTGGAAGATCGCAAGGAAAACAGAAAAGCTGAAGAACTAGTGAGAGAAGAAGATTTGCAACAAAATCAGAAAACTGTACACAAAAAATGAACAAAGGAAAATGAGCTATGTCACATGAGGCTAAATAATCCAAAGTTGTTTAAACCGAACAACCTTCTATAAACCAAGATTCGACATGCTGTCACATAAATTATTCCCTTTATAAACCAATTACAGAAGGAAAAAAAAAAGGATGAAATGAAAAACACGGCAACCGTTCATCAACCCACTAAAAATTGTTTCCAGTGATTACCCTGCATAAACAAATAAACAATGCCATTAGAAAAATGAGGTTTCGGTAATTGCACAATTAAACAATGTTTTTGCATAAAAGGCAAAAGGTACAGTCAACTTGAAATATCAATTATGAACATGACTCACGAAGAACATACTGCTAGTTCGCTAAATTACCATAGGCATAACAAATCAAATACTCCATAACAAATGCGCGAGGTAAAATAAATATAGCAACCAAGCCATCAAGGTGTTCATAGCTTGAAACATAACCAAGGTCTACTATTGTCCAAAGAAGCAACATGAATGATATGCCAAAATTGATGGGATCACTAGGTAGAGACGATCACATTATAGAGAGGACAAAATGCATTAAAGCAATATTTGGGGTAAGAACACCAAAGCTATCTGCTACCAAAATTAGGATATTGTACCTACCTACTTACAAATTCAAGAAGCCTTCACATCTGTCCACTAAATCCGAAAATATCAGGGCTCATAATATCTCCACTGCTTCCAATGCTGTGACTCAAGTTGTTAGTTGGAGATTCAATCTCATCCACTGCAAAGCGGCTTGGAATGCAAGTACCTTTACCAACAAATCCATGATTCTTTCCTCGCCCTTGATCAGGCAATTTCCCAAGAGCCACATTAGAACTTTGAAAACTAGATGAACTGGACCCAGGGTGGCTTAGCCCAACAGTATTACCATAACTGTCAACATTCGGCAGAGGCGACCAGCTACCAGTGATGTCATCCTGACCCAGTAAACCAAACTGTGTATTTTTTGATTGTGAAGAGAGTAAGCCAGAGTCCATAGGGGGGTTGCTACCACCAAGATAACCATAGCTATGGTTCAGAGCGTCAGAGTTTTCTGTCTTAAGAACACCAGGTGGTTGTTTGGAGCCCATTCCCATAGAATTTGGACTAACCAAATATGGATTATTTGGAGTATGAAAAGTACTGATCCCTTGAGAAGGTACTACATTTGGATTACGATTTACAAGGCCAGAAAGATTCCCCCCTCCATGGGCACTTATTAAGGGCTGACTTGTTGAAGCTTGATTAACCAAATCAATACCACCTAACAGACTACTCGATGGTTGAGAAGTTGCAAGAACAGGTTCATGCTTCATGGATGGAGGCATGGCCGCTAGAAAACCAGATGACTGAGCAGGTATCATCAAGGTATTTTGATTAGGGGAGAGACCCTCACTGGCTGAGAAAGTATTTAATGACTGAGAAGGCATAACTATCCCAGAAGGTTTGACATCTAGAGAGTGAAGGGTTCCTGACAGCATGGCATCTGGCTGCTGTTGCAATTCATGCAAGACTATATTGCTATTCTGAGAATTACTCATGCCTCCCAATGTGCCGGTTGAGTCTGCCATACCAAGTTTGTTATTGGGCCAAGCTGAAAATGAAGGCATTCCTCCAACAGCTGGACTGCTTTGAGGGAATGCCCCATATGCATTATTCTGGCACTTGTATATAGGTTGACCAAATGCTATTTCTCTCTCCCCATGGGGCTTGTTTCCTTTGACTGCAGCAAGCCGTAAAGATGACTGGTCCCTTCCAGGCAATACCAAACTATTTGTAGGTCGCCCTAGGAGCTCATCCTGCAAGGCGGCCAGGGCTTGAGGAGGGATCTGACCTGAGGCAGCCAAAGCTTGGAAATCAAGTCCTCCCAGTGAGCCTACTTTACCACTAGAAGCAGGCGGGCAGAATGGATTAGCTATTCCGGCATGATGCTGAGCAATCCTCTTCAGATACAATCTGAACTTCTGAAAATAGAAAAAAAAAACTCATTGCATCACCATGATTATCATTACATAACTAAAAAACTGGAAGTTACAGCAAGAGCAAACAGATACTTCATTACTGTTTCAGCAACTTCAATATGCCCAAGAAAAACGACATTGTTTCAAGATAACTTAGGGACGTCCTGAGTTCAAACAGGGTCTAAGCTACTGTATATCATGACTATTGAACTAAGCACTTAAACAGGTCCTGGTATATATTAAAAAAATGAAGGTAACAGGGAGATTGGAGCTCAACAGACAAGCAGCACAAATGCACAAGGTAACCAATGGAATTTTACTCTGTAGACAAAACCTTCAAATGGATGATCCCCAGGCAACACAATAAGAACAACAGAAAAACAATGTTTATTATCAAACATCTATTATAGAGCGATTCGTTGCCATCTGCACTGGTTGAATGATCTATAATTTGGTATGGTTTCATTCTACAATAAAAGAGTGTAACAGCACTAAAATAGTGTATGTACAAGTCCCTGGAATTACAAGATCATTCCAGGAGCAAGTCCTTTGGTTAGTTGGTTTCTACTGCTAATTAAATCAGAGTAGATACATTCAGGTAGAGCAAGGATGTGTAAAATAAATACGAATAATAACAATTAGGATAATACAAAAGGGTAGATATTCCATGGTGCCAGTAAACATAACATCCACCACACCATGCTAAATATGATACAAGAAAAAGGACCCGTGATTAAAAATGAAAACCAGAATCAAACCTGCAAATGGCTGGCGACATTTTCCCTAGTTAAACCAGGAACATTCATCAACTCCAAAATTTTCTTGGGAACAGCTTCTGAAGAGAAAATTATAAAATTTGTGTAAGCTTGAAAGCGGAAAGATTTGATGTAATTGCAAGGTTCAGGTGTTCAAATGTGGTAAACAACACCAAAAGAAAAATAAATTAGCAAGTGTACAGCCGACCAAACATTGCTGTTGATGAAAATAAGTGCCAAAAGTAGGAAAAACTTACTGTCTATCCCCAGATGATTAACTGCGTTTACAAATTGTTGGTGGAGTTCAACTGACCAAACAACTCTTGGTTTCTTTGATGTAGAAGAAGGGTCACCACTTTCCAATTCACCATCGTCATCATCTTTATCCCGTTTCTTTTTCTGAGACTTCCAGCTACCTTCAGCTCCATCATTTGCAGATGAAGCATACTCATTATCGTTATTGGTTGGTCTGGTACGATCTGTATCATCTAGGCTACCTGAATGCTCATGCTCCTTGTTTTCATTAAACTTTTTCCTTATAACATGTTGCCAGATGTTCTTCAACTCCTCCATTCTGACGGGTTTAATTAAGTAGTCACATGCTCCATGTTTTATTCCTTTCATAACGATATCTGTCCTTGAATCAGCAGACATCACTGCAATATTATCAACAGATTTCAGTAATGCCTTTGACAAACCAGAATTAACAAGCAGGGTGGAGAATATTAATCTACTTACTAATAACTGGGAGATCCATCTCAAGGCCAACAAGTTCAAGTAACCTGAATCCGTCCATATCAGGCATATGAACATCGCTAATTATAACATCAAAACCACGCCTGTTCTCTCGCAGCATAGTTAATGCTCTTGTAGCCTGAGAACAAGTTGTCGCTGCCCAAAAAAAACAAAGTAAACAAAATAACTATTCAGACATACAAATGAAGCAGATGCAAATTACGATATTAGCTTCCCACGAACGAGTGGAATTTTCGGAAACAACAGAGTGAAAACAAAACAAAGCAACGAAAAAGTACTGCACACAACATGATATAAACTTAAAAGTGTATTTGAAGGCATAAAAGCAGCAGATGATATTTATGTACAATTGCATTACATTATGAATACTGAATACCTCCATGGGTATGCCTAATGCTTTTCACGTTCGTTTTAAAGCAGAGATCATTCAATAGAGAAGACTGGATAAGGAATAAAATCCAACAGTTTCTCATGCTGCACACATTCAACTTATAGTAGGAAATAAATCAACTGTAATATAATAAGAAAAAATAGATCAGTAATAAACCCATTATATTATTTGTTATTTCCCCTAAGCTGTGATGCGCATATGTGAACTATTGGCGCCCAGAACAGAAACTAGAAAGGAATAGCAACACTTTACAGAACAAAGATTCTATATAGGCTGCAACCTAGATATGCCGCATTGCATCCTTGGAGTATTCGTTCCTGTTGCAACAAAACTTAACTGTGGGGTAGGTGGGTGATGCATAGCGCCTCTAATAAACTCCTGATCCTAAGCTAAACTTTCCGTGATAATTTGCAGTCATTACTATGGGTGATAATTCACAGTCATTAGGCATAACAAAATGTTATCGGGATAGGGAACAAAAGCTAGGAGCATCGACGATATATTCCCAATATATTGCAAGTCTTAGGTTGGGATGATATAATA